GTTGATCGTGGACTGGTCGCCCGTCGTTGTCTTCCGATCCCGTCGGTCGAGCGTCTTCTCGACCTCTACGTACAGGGTCTTGTCCAGCTGTCGCTTCCTTCTGGACGAGCTGGCCGCGCTGGGCGGTTGCTCCATGCCGGCGTCCTTGATAGCCTGCCAGTCCTCTGACTGCAACTTGATTGCGGGATGTCCCGCGGCGCTCGTGGTGAGCTTCTGGGTGGCGTTCCCGATGCGGATCTGGCCCTTCCAGAGAGAGATGTCGATCTTGGAAGGCTGGATGAAGTCGCGGACGATGAGCAGGCCCAGCGTGGGGCTGTCCACGACGCTGAACACGATGCGGCCAGCCTGGCCGCACAGCACAAGCGGCGCGGTGACGCGCAGCATGCTCGGGATATTACCTCTGTTGCCCAACCTGTAGACCTCGTCCTCCGGCTCGTCGAGGATCTGGTTGGCAAGCCCCATCCTCGTGAGGATGTTCTTGTAGTTGTCGTGCCACTTCTTGTCCGAGACGCAGAAAAGGCAGGCGGTGTCGACCACGCCGACGCCCTCGTCCGCGGGCTCGTCACTGCCGATCGCGACGTTCTCGTTCGGCAGGTGGTGGGTTAGCCGCTCCGAGACGCAAGTCCCCAGGGGCGGCGTGACTGGTCCCTGCGGGTGCATGACGATCTCCTCGTCCGCGAACTGGATCTGTTCGGTGATGTGCGCCTGGCGCTGAGGACGGCCTCCGCCACCTCCTCGTCCACCGCCCTTTGACTTGCCGTCGTTGGGCGCGAACTTGCGAGCGCCTGGCGTGGGGCACTCCTCGTCCCCTGTCCAGTGTCGGGTCTCGCCGCAGTCCCAGCAATAAGTGTTCCTCTTACGCTCGTCGACCGGGCCCTGGAGCTTGGTCGGGCGGCGGGGCGGTGCGGACTTTGAGCGGCTCTTGAGGGCCTCCCGGGCCGATCTGATGGTGGCCATGGCTTCGGGAATAGCGGCAAGTTCCGCTGCAGCAGCTTCGACCTTGGCAGAGTCGTCGCCGTCGAACAGCTCGGAGATGTCTACGTTGGAGGACTCGAGCTCGGCGCTGAAAGCCTCGAGCTCCTGGCGAGCGATGTCCTGGGCGCCAGTCTCGTCCTCGTCGTCCTCGTGCTCTTCGTTGTTCTCGTCGCCCGGCTCGTCGACGACGTTGGTTGAGCGCCCCCCGCGGCTGGAGGAAACGTTGCTCCGCCAGCCGCCATGTGAGCGCGACTGGTTGGTCCATGACCTTGGCGGGGGGACGTGGCGCTCCGACGCGTGGATGTCCGGTGGCATCCTGACGAGCAGCCCGCGAATGCGCTGGTAGCCGTAGTGCTCGTCGGGCAGGTTTCCCGCGACGCGCTCTCGGCGCTCTGCCGTGAGCCCAGCTTTGCGCAGCAGGAACCATCCCGCCACGTCGTCCAGCGTTCTGAGGTCCACCTCATTCTCGCGTGGCTGCTGCAATCCAGTCTCGAAGCGGATGAGCCCGTCCGTCATGCGTTCACCTCTTCGTCGGTGATGTTGAGTCGATTCGAAGAACTACTCGAGGGTCTCGCCCTTCTGCACAGGCTTCTGCTGACCCAAACTAGCCTCCAGGTGTTGTAGCACGTTTTCTATGCCGACCTGGTTCCTATTGCGCTTCCTATCATCGGGGTCTTCGATGACCACCGGGGCTGCTGGATGCAGCTGCGCCTCCGTCATATTTTGTGCTGCGCCGCGGGCTGTCCCACTGAGCTTCGGCGCGAGCTTCGATGCGAGACTATGAGCCACGGCGAGGTTCCCACTGAGTTTCCAGAGCTTGACCTCCTGTTTGTAGTCTCTCCACTTTGCCGGGTCGCCATGCCATGTAGGGATGGTGTTGTACGCGTAGTTATCCGTCATTTAGCTAAGAATGAGGTAGTGGGCCGCGTCGCTGACACTGGCGTCGAAAGAGAAATAGGCGTTGATGCTGGCGTCACTGACGCTGGCGTTGGAGAAGTAGGCGTTGATGCTTGCGTCGCTGACGCTGCCGTAGGAGCAATAGGCGTAGATGCTGGCGTCGCTGACGCTGGCGTTGGAGAAATCGGCGTTAATGCTTGCGTCGCTGATGGTGCCGTAGGAGCAGTAGGCGCTGGTGCTTGCGTCGCTGACGCTGGCCTGGGAGACGTAGGCGAAGTAGTCGTTAATGACGGCGTCGCTGACGCTGTCGTGAGAGAAGTAGGCGTTGATGTCGGCGTCGCTGACGCTGACTTACGGGAAGTAGGCGTTGGTGACGGCGTTGATGACGCTGTCGGAGAAGTAGGCGTGAAAGTCGGCGTCGCTGACGCTGACGTACGGGAGATAGGCGTTGGAGGCGTAGATGACGGCGTCGCTGACGCTGTCGTAGGAGTTCGCAGGGTAGGCGTAGATGTCGGTGTCGCTGGCGCTGACGTGCTGACGTGGATGATGCTAGCGTCGCTGACGCTGGAGAGGGCGCTGAGCAACGGCGCGACCAGGCTGGTCAGGAAGCCGCTGGGCTTCGATTCAGGAAGACGTGTCGCAGACGCCGTCTTGCAATATGTACGGCCGCAGGCCGGGATAGCGGAACGGCCTCGCTCCGCTACCGCTGTGATATGGATGCGCGCGCGGCGCGGATCTTTGGGCGAAAGCGAGCGCGGCTCGAGCGATCTGCGTAGCGCTAAGGCCAAGTGCCCTGAGAAATAAAAATGGCAGCGGCGAGCAAGGAATGAAACCACAGGCCCCTCGAGGCTTCTTGGGAAACCCTCTCGGGCCTCTTGCGTTCCTGGGGAGTGAGATTGATTCACACTAGTAGTGGCCTCAGTCTGATGTCCATTCGTTGACGGTACTAGAGGGTCCCCTTCACCTAGGAGACGTTGTGCGTGCCTGGTCCATGTGCGTTGAAACTTCGTTGCCTTCGATCTCGGTTTTGTAATCGGTTCCCGAGGGCCCTCATGGGATTGATGCGCAGAGGTCTCTAGGGCACTGTGTGTGAATCCAGCACGGAATCCAGCACTGCCGTTGCTGCTGGCGTTTGCCACCTCGCGCACCCTTCTGCAGCGTGAACGTTTTGTTCCCCCCCAACGGTCCCCAGCGGCCTCCGAAGCTCTCTAGGGGTCCCGGAATGCTTGTTGACCCTGGTCAATTGGCGGGTGGGTTCGGGACCAAGACCTCCGCTGTCGTGTCTTTTTCATTGTGGGATCTTTTTATTTCCCGTCCCATAATCCAGGATTGGTTTTCCATCCCGAGATATTCCTTGACGTTCACGGAACCCCAAAAAGGGCACCCCGACACTGGGAAGAGTGAGAAGCCCTTGCGTTGATTTCGCCAAGACCTTGGAGGTCTCGGTGGCAGGTGGGTCCAGGAGACCCCCGCCGCCACGAGTGGACCGCCTCCACTTTCTGGTCGTCCTCTACTAAGCCCACGCGTCTGGACTGCGCCCAGAATGGGGTCTCCTCCTCAGGCGCCTCGGGTTCCCCTTTCATCTTCCTCCTCTTTCTCCACTTCCTCCTCTCTCCTCCGTTCTCCTGCTCCTTCCTCCTCCCTCCAATTCTTCCTCGTGTATGTTGCGCCCAGTGTGATCCTTCTGATCTGGGGCGAAGGGGTGGAGCGGGCGGTCCAAATTGAGCGTCCAGTGTTCTGGGCCAGCGGTCAACCCCTCCACCCGTGCCAACCAGAAGCGTAAGGCCAACCTGGTGCGACGGGGCCTTCACGCATAGACCAGGACCTCCGAGCCTTCGTCGTGCCGAACTTGCTCAGCTTTGTTTCGAGCAGTCGCCTCTCCCGATCCGCTCCACCGGCTTTGGGATTCCATCGTGCCCAGGGCTTGCCGTTTTTTCGGCGGACGTCCGTTTGTCTGGGGCAGAGCGCGGGGTTGGAGAAGGGCGCAGCGGCCGAGCGTGGAGGCGAATCCGAGGCCGAGCCGAGCCCGTCTGATCTCGCGGGTGAGCCCCAGCTGGCGCCAGACCCGCACATGGAAAATCTCCTTCGTGAAATGCAGGCTGGCATGGCAGTGCGATGCAGGTCGCCTCCTCGAGCTGCAGCGGGCGCGCGTCGTGCTGGGCGGGCAGCTCTGCATCATAGTTGCCTGGCCCGGATCGGAACGCTGGCGTCCTTCTGGGGGCGGCTTGGGGGCTGCTTCGTTCTCGGGCCCGCGGGAAAACCCTGGTGGCTGCGTTCGGTCAGCCGTCGATCTCCGTCCCCGCGGGGGACTCCCCCTCTCCCCCGCCCCGACCCCTTTCCTCTCTCCTTTCTCTCTTTCCCACTTTCCCTCTCTCCCCCTCTCCCCCTCTCCCCCTCCCTCCTGTCTCTTCCTCTCCCCCTCTCCCTCTCCCCCCCTCTCGGCCCTGGTGGCCGCGTTCGGTTGGCCGCTGGTCTCTGTCCCCACGGGGGTGGCGGAGCCCTGGCCGCGGCCTTGCATCACCACGGCCATTTCCTCGCCCTCCTCCTCTGTTCTCCCTCCTCCCGCCTTTCTTCTCCTCGTCCCTCCTCCGATCTTGGTCCTTCCCCCCTCCTCCTCCCTCCTCCACCTCCTTCCTCTCCCGAGGCGTCATCCTCCCTCTCCTGGTCCACCATACCGCCTCGCCCTACCCTCCTCGCCAGAACATTATCTTCGAGCACTCCGTTCTTCTGTGCGATTCGCGTGGTTCGGCTTTCTCTGTTTTTTTCGCTCGTGTGTTCTGGCTGCCTGCGGTATCACGTTTGTGCTCTGGTGTCGTCTTGTTTCTGCGCTCGCCGCCCGTTTCTTCGGCCGAGCCGACTTGTCTCAGCTCCCGGCTGTGCGCCCGTGCAACTGGCCTACTTGCCACGTGCCACTTGCCTCTCCTCCTCCTCCTCCTCCTCCTCCTCCTCCTCCTCCTCCTCCTCCTTCTCCCCGTATTACTCACCCGTCTCCTCTTCCTTCTGTTCTTCTCCTCGCCCAGTGCCCCTCCTCGCCCCCTCGTCCCGCCCTCCCCGCTCTCTCCTCTCCCGGGCTCGTCCCTCTCTGCTCACGCTCATCCTTGGCTGAGCGCCGCGCGTCCTCCCGCCAGAACGTCAGCGGCTGCCAGCTCCAAGGCCATTGGGGTGCCACCGCCGCCAGGGGAGGTTGCAAGAACAGCCTCCTGCTCCCTCCTCCTCCTTCCTCCCTTCTTCTCCTCCTTTAGTGTTCGATCAGTGACCCTTTCTCGAACGCAGCCATCCAGCTTCCGCGCAGAAGACCGTTAGATATCGCCGAGGACTGCCGAAGACTGCAGCGAGGACCACGGGTGACAAGCGGTCTGTGGTCGAATTGGTAGCCTTCCCTTCTCTTTCCATTTCTCCTTGCCCTCCGACTCTTCGTCCTATGCATCCCTCTTTCCTTCAGCCTTCTTTCTCTGGTCTCCACCTTCCCCTCCTGTTCCTCCTCCTGTCTCTCCTCATTTTCCTCCTCTTCTCCCCCCCTGGCCTCTGGCCTCGCCTCCCGCGTCCTTCCCTCACGCCTCCACCACCTGGTCGATAGAGCCTTCAGGGTTCCGTGCATGTTTATGGAGTGTCCAGGCCATGAGTTGCTCACGCGTTCATTCTTGACGCTTCGCATATCCACACTCGCCCACCCAGAACCGATGCCCAGGCGAGTTGCCCTGATCGGGAGAGCTTAGCAGCATGCATCCAGAAGCCACACGTGACATGCAATCGTAGACGTTTTGCCTCTCGGAGGCGGAGCCCTCCTGGAGAACTCTTGGTGTCATTTATGATGGCACTGGGGCTCTCTTGGGGCCCTCTCGGGGCTTGTCTGCGGCCCTCTCGGGGTCTCCTTCGGGACCTCTGGAACCCTCTTGGAGCAGTCTTTGCCGACGTTGATCAAACAGAAGGCGGCACTGAATCAAGGCCTGGCGTTTCTGGCTTGGCCTCGCGTCAATCATCGTCAAGCATAGGTCTGCAATCTTTTCTGCCTTGGCCTCGCGCATCCCCACCAGCCCATCCAGAACTGATTGCAAGGGAGCTGCCGCATTCGGGAAAGGGTAGGAGCATCCAGTGGAACAGACAGGGGAGTCAGCCCTCAAGCCTAAACGCAGAATCAATCTGAGCACATCCAAGAGTGGAATTGCTGAGGCTGCCGTCGAAGACAGAGGAGGAGGATGAGGATGAGGATGAGGATGAGGATGAGGATGAGGATGAGGATGAGGAGGAGGAGGAGGAGGAGGAGGAGGAGGAGGAGGAGGAGGAGGAGGAGGAGGAGGAGGAGGAGGAGTAAGTGGAGGGGGTAGGCAGGGACGGAGGGAGGAGGATGAATAGGGAGGTGGGAGGAGTAGGGGAGGAGGATGAGAAGCAAGAGCAGGGGGATGACGACGACACTGATGACGACGAGGACGACGACGATCACGGCTAGAGTCAACCATGAATATCTTCGTGGATCTTTCTCTCTACGAGCCTGCCTCTTGTAAGCTTTTTGGAGCCATCTTAGAGCCTTCGGGGTTCCATTCGTGAAGCTATACCGTTGCGCCTTCGCTTGAAACAGTTTGACGCGATTGTTACGCCCACCTTTTTTTTACCGGTCCGCCGACGACAGCCACGGCAGCACAACCTCGGTCACGAGTTGCATCGAGGCGATCAAAGATGCTCCGCTGGGTAGTTGGTTTCAACAAGCTTCCAAGCGAAGGCTGACAGGAAGCGGGGCGACGTTACAAGCAACACGTGCGCGTCGTTTTGGGCATTTTCCTGTGTCAGACTGGCTCGTTATGATACATCTGGAGCCGTGTGGCACGTTTTGTCACTGGTGACCCGCAGGAATGGCCAGCGTACCTTTTACGCTGGCGTCCGCCCAGACGTCGACGTCGAGATCGGCCGCGTCGCGTGTTGACATGTCGTTTTGGCCCTACCTGTCTAATCGGACAGGCCGGCTGCGCGGACTGGCGCTGACAGGGCGACTCTTCCGCAGCGTTTAATCGAGCATTTTGCTTACTGCATGTGCATGGTCGCGTACTGCGGGTTTTTACTGCAGGTGCTTTGCCTGTTGTAGCTAATTAGCTTCGCCTGCTGGCCCAGACGCCGCCTACCGCTCCCTGTCCGCCGCCTCGGAGCCGCCGACCCCCAAAAAAGTGTTGACATGTCGTCGGTTCCTTCTTACCACAAGAGCACGGCACGAAATTGACGAATGTTGTCCACAGCAGGAGCGTGTATCCTGGCAGCGGTTCAGAAATTCATGTCTCAACTACATGTGATGGAACCTATGACATATGCTATATTGTTGTAGTGTTGCCGTGCCCGACAACTCTCTTTTGCATGCGCGTTTTGTTGCCGTAGTGTCCCACACCCTCCGTCTCCGCTTGCGGAGCGAGGGGCCTTCTTGGGCTCCTCGACCGCACGCAGGCGCCGTACCGCACGGCACAATAGCGTCTCGGTGTCCAGGATTACACACGCGGCACGGCACAACGCGCAAGCACGGCGCGCCGCACTCTCCGCATGCCCGAACACAAGCACAGCACTGCGCGTCACGGCAGTGTATTCTCCTTAAACAAGTGAGACCCCTTACAGCATTCGCTGTTTAGGGAATGTGCGGGCATCCCCGCCGCCGTCAGTGGCAAAACACACTGCAAAGTTATCCCCCCCTGCGATGGTTGGTGGGCTTGCACGCGCCAGGCAACATGCTGGCCCCCCCATCATCCTTGTCAAAACGCAAGGTGAAGTGATCGCGGGTCCCCGCGCATGGTCAAATATTTTGCCACAACATGCGCCTGACCCTGTTTCCTTACAGGGATGGTGGGGGCGTTGTCAGCATGGTCCCGCTGGACGAGTGGCCGTTGGTCGAGTGGCAGAGGGGTGTTTACCAATCGGTAGCAGTATTTAGTCGAGACGGCAAGAGTCGATTGGAAAAACGAACTCGCTAAACCACCTACGAGAAGGCCGGTGGGATTACTCGTGCCTCAACCAGCCCAGCCTGCTCAAACTCCGGTTTTTGCTCCTTTTCCTCCTCCTTCTGCAGCTGCGGCGGGCGACACCGACGAGGGATCCGCTGGCGTCTCAGAGGCGCGCGCGCGCCTACGGAAACGCTACCCCCCTTCGATCGCCCTTCCCCGCCCCGTCCCTCCTGGCAAACGGCGATTGGCCGCGCTTCGGACATGTCGCGTCCCATTGCCCCTCAGGTGGGTGCTCGCCAGCTCGCTCGATGCGCCCATCAGGCATGAGGTGCTCCGAACAGTCCTGGACACCCTTCCGGGCACACTCGGAACGTTGAGGCGTCGTGCAGGGTCGTCTTCGTCCCTCCTCCCGCTCCCGCAGCCTCGACAGCCCAGCACGCGCCAGGCGCTGCCGAAGAAGAGCCTGCCACAGAGGAGACCTTGCCGGCCCCCGCTCAGTGGCAGCATCGGTGGCAGCACTCGCAAACATGTCAGCGTCAGGTATTTCTAGCCAGCAGCAGTTGCAACAACTGTGCTACAGTATATTAGCACCAGTGGACGTAATGACAGCAACAGGCAGCAGCAGCAACAGCAGCATACGCACCAGTTTTACTGGACGCGGCAGCAACCACAGTATCCCCATCAGTAGTAATAGTCGCATCATCAGCAGTAGCCAGTAGCAGTAGCAGTAGCAGTGGCAGTAGCATCAGCAGTATCACGTCATTATCAGCAGTAGTGGTGGCACCAGCAGTAGCAAGGGCTGTTTCACCATCATACCAGCGCAGCACTCTGTGAGGCGACGCCTTTAGCACTGCGCTGAAAGCCGTCGCATATGGCACCTTTTCTTTCTAATCCTTGAGGGGCTCTGACGGGGCCTGCCTGGGCCATCTTGGGGCTGTCTAGGGCTCCCGTGGGGCCTTCGTGGGGCCTTCTCGGGGTCTTCTCGGGGTGTCTTGGGGCCTTCTTGGGCCGTCTTGGGGCCCTGTTGGGCTGTCGGGGGCCCCTCTCGGCTGTTGGGGGGCTGTCTTGGACACCTGTTGAGCCCTCTCGGCTCATCTTGGGATCCCCTCGGGCTGCCATAGGCCCCTGTTGGGCCTCCTCGAGGCCCTCTTGGAGCTGTCCTGGGCCGCCTGGGATTCTCTCGGGGCTTCATCGGGTTCTTGTGGCTTCTCTTTGACTCAACCATCTTGAGTTGAGCTAGGGACCCCAGGAACATAGAGGAATTTCTAAGGTGTTTGACTGATGTTGTTCTTCCTGGAGGGCCTCTTGGCCTTCTTCTGCGTGCCTTCAGAGCCTCTTGGGACCTTCTTGGGGCTGTATGGTGGCTCTTGAGCCAGTGTTGAGCCATCTTGGGGGCTTCGGTGGTCTTCCCAGGCTCGGGAGCCTCGGAGAGCCCCACGGAGGCGTCGGGCCGCCCAGGGAGCCTCGGGAGGGGGGAGCGGCGGTGCGTACGAGAAGGTGCGTCGAGAGAAAGGGGGGTTCCCTCTGAGGATCTGCATGCGCCCTCCCAGACAGCACCCGACGTTCTACTGCACCTCAGCGTGCCAGAGGGAACGTTGACTGATCAGCTTCAGCAGTAGTAACAGCAGTTCCATCAGTAGCAGCAGGGGCAGCAACGGAAAGTAGCTGTACCAGGATGGAACGGGGGATGTAAGTGAGACCGAGAAGGAGAGGGGCAGGGCTCGGAAGAAGGACGGATGGACGGAGGGAGTGAAAGAGGGGGAAGGACCACGACCGTCTCTTTCGCCTCGTGTCTTATTGCTAGAGGGAACTGGGTAAAGTGGACGCGCGTCTAGCCAACGGTTCTCCCAGTTCCTATATGCTGGCCTGTCACCGCGGTGAGCCAGGGCGCCCGAAAGAAAGACGGGGGAGGAGGCGATGGACTGAAGGACCGTGGGGAGAGGGGGTGGGAGGGACGGGACGGGACAGGGGGTGAGGGGGGGGGAGGGAGGGGGGGAGGGAGGGAGGGAGAGAGAGAGCAGAGCAGAGCAGAGCGGAGGTCTCCTCCATCTGGCCCCCTGGAGCTGCCCGAAAAGCACTCCAGAGCCATTACCCCCCCTCGGACTTTCCAGAACCCCGTGGAGCCTCCAGGACTCCACCTTGGCCACAAGTCCCTTAGAGAACTCCGATTCGTCCTTCTGCCGAGGATGTCCACAAAGAGGATGACGACGACGAGGACGAGGATGACGACGAGGGGAGGGTGGGAGGCGGAGCTCGGGCGCGCGCTGGCCGCCAAGGACTGGAGGGAGTCGCTGGTCGACGAGGCTCGTGCTCTTGCCAGCCGCCTTCACTCGGACGCCGTGGTTTCCCCTCTTCTCACTTGTCTGCTTTCCCTTCGCACTGCGCCGTCTTGGACATGTGTTTGTTTCCAGGTCGGCCGCCCCGTTCAAGGGACTTCGTGGGGCCGTCAGGCAGTGGATTCTCGCACCAGCGGCGATTACATCACCATGGTGTAACCTTGCATTTTTTTGTTTGTTTCTCTCGTTTTTTTTTTTTTTTTTTTTTTTTTTTTTTTTTTTTTTTTTTTTTTTTTTTTTCTCTCTCTCTCTCTCTCTCTCTCACCGTCTTTGTTTTCCCGTTCGGCTGCCTCGCCAGAGAGGTAGTGTGAGGGGGTTTTGGGGGCGGTTGTCGCTCGACTTCGGTTTTTCCGTTCCCCCGTTCGGCTGCATCGCTGGAGGCAGTGGGGGGTGACAGGGGGTTCGGGAGGGCTACTGTGCTGCCGTTCGGGGCAGATTTTGAGACAGGCGGCGCTAACACTGTGCGTGTGGAACACTTCATATTTTCCCCTCTTCCCTTTCCCCCCCCACCCCGTTCGGCCGCGCCTCGCCAGAGGGGAGAGGTGGATAGGGGGAGGGGCTTGTGGGGTCGTCTAGCAGAGGATTTCCTCCGCAGGCGGGACTTCTTCTGTCCTCTATGTAGCACTTTTTTCCCACCTTTTCCCTTCACAGTTACAGAATATGAAGACTACTCTCCTCTCGCCCCTGATGACGTCCGGAAGATGTTCGGCCCCCTTCCGCGTATGGTTTTTACACCGGATTCCCGGGAGTTAGGTATTCGCGTTTTTTTTTTTTTTTTTTTTTTTTTTTTTTTTTTTTTTTTTTTTTTTTTTTTTTTTTTTTTTTTTTTTTCAAAATGTTGTTCTTGCTGAAGCGCTGGCCTCATTTTTGGGTTTCCGCTCGTTCCGAATCGTGCTCCCGCTGCCGCGCTGGCCTCATTTCCGCGCTTCCGCCCGTTCAGAATCGTGCTCCCGCTGCAGCGCTGGCCTCATTTCCGCGCTTCCGCTCTTTCCGAATCGTGCTCCCGCTGCAGCGCTGGCGTCATTATTTCCAGTGGCATGACAAGGCATGCAATGCAATGCTATGTGGTGTTCCATTGTGCGATGTCATGCCTGCAGCTGCAATGCTATGATATGCAGTGTTTGACTACGCAGTGCCACACTATGCTATGCAATGCTATGCTTTGATCTTCAACGCCATGCTATGTCATGTTCCGTTCTGTGCCGCAAAGTGATGCCATTTTTTGTGTTGCAATGCTTTGTGATGCAATTTTTCACTACGCAACGCCACGCCATGCTATGACATACTACTCTCTGCCGTGCTCTTCTACGCCCTGCTATGCCGTGCTCTACGATGCATCGCGCATCTTCTCGGGATTATTGGTCTGCTCGACGTCCAACTGTGCGAATAGAGAGGAGATCTACGCCATGGTAAGGGATGGGAGGGGAGGGGCAGGACGTCAGATACGACGCGAGCGCACCTAGCTTGCCTTCCCCCCCTCTCTCCCCTCCCCCCTGCCCCCCTCGCCTTCGGCCGCCTTGCCAGGGGGGATGAGGGAGGGGCCTCGTGGGGCGTCCAGCAGTGGAATTCCACACCGACGGCTTTTACAGTATCCGTGTTCAGCCCGGTTCTTTTTATCTCTTCCTGTTTTTGTTCACCACCCTGTTGGGCCGCCTCGCGGGAGGGGGGGCGTGGCCTGGAAGGCCTTTCTGGGGATTTCGAGCAGTGGATTTTCACACAGGCGGCTTGTACAGTTTCCTTGTGGAATCATGTTTTTTCTTCTTTTGTTTCTTCTTTTGACTACCCTTTCGCCCGCCGTGCTGGATGGGGGGGGGGGATTTGGATGTGTGTGTGTGGTTGTGTGTGCGTACCCTCTCTCACCTCCTTCCGTTCCTCATCCGCTGCCCTATCGGCTCAGGTGTTGACTTGACTGAAGGATCTTCTCTGGGCCTCAGAGGGGACACTCTCATTGGTTGCATCCTATTGTGCGGATCTTGGGTGCATTATGTTCTCTGACCTTTGCCTCCCTCACACAGTTTATAAGGCTATATATTTTTGGTCGTGCTCGCTCCCCTTGTCCACCTTGCGGGGGATGCGGTCTCTTCCATACCTCGGAGCTTCTGCCTCTGGCAAATGCTCCGATGCCTGGTGGCGCTTCCCCTCCCACGGTGCGACAACTAGTGCAGAACCGTAAGACGATGTGGGATGCTGGCAAATATCCGATCTTCCCTGGAGGTCTTGAACCCCAGCCGCTTGCGGCTCCGCCTGGTTTTGGTCCCCCTGCCTCTATGCCAGTGGCAACCCTGGCTAGCCGCACGCTGCTGGCTCAAGTGACACACCCTGGAGCTCGCGATCCTCCGCCTGGGACAACCCTGGCTGGGGCTTTCGACCCCATCGGTGTTTCGGTTGGGGTTCCTCTGGGACTTCACCACCGGGCTCCTGTCCAAGGTGTACCTTTTCCTGCACGTCCCGTTAGGCACCGCCTGATCCCCGGGCTTCGCCCGCCCTTGGCCGCGTGAGGCCCCGCCTTCTCCTGCCTTTTCTCTGCCAATTCAAGCTATGCGCGTCCCGCGTAGCTTTCAGCGGAAGAGGTTCGCTCTCGCCCTGCAGATCAAAAACAAAGTTTCGCTTGGGGCACCCCAGGCCTGAGCCCTCGGTCCTGTCGTCCCTGCGTAAGAGGGCATACGCGCCACAGAGATGTGTAGTTTCAACTCTCGGCCCGGGGAAGCCTTGGCTCGTACTTTTGAGATCTCTTGCGCTCGTGGCGTTTCTCCACGCCAGACACGGCGACTCTAGGAGATCGACTTGATCGATGTGGACGACCTGCGCGCCCACAGCCACAACCATTCTTAGAGAGGGTTTCGGCGTCCTCCAGGCCAGACAGGAGCTCCATCAGTGTTCAATGTCTACCGAAAAACAGTTTGCCCTAATTGGCAGATCCGAACACTGCCCGCCCGCGTGCGTCTCTGAACACTGTGCGGTGAATGGCCGCCTCCTGAACGGCCAACGTGCTCTTCGGGCCGACCTTTTCCGACCAACGCGCCGATCACCACGGCCTGATCCCATGCCTCAGGCATGGGGTTCGGCTCTTGCTGCACGGCCTCCATGGCCGCCTCCGCCCGTGAACTTCCCACCGCCACCTTCCCGCGCTGGCCTTCTGGTCCACCAGGGGTACCGAACCGAGTGGCCCCTGAGCCTCCGCGGGCACCCGCCCCCCCCTCCGCGGGCCCCACACCCTGGGGGGTGGGATTCCGCCCTCGCCGTTTCTCTCCTCTCGTGTCCCGCCCCTTCCCTTTCTTTCCCGCCCCTTCCCTTTCTTTCCTCCCTCCTGTCCCGCCCCTTCCCTTCCTTTCCTCCCTCCTGTCCCGCCCCTTCCCTTCCTCTCCTCCCTCTTGCTCTCCTCCTGTCTCCGCCCTCTCCCTCCTGTCCCTTCCCTTCCCTTCCCTTCCTCCCTCCTGCTCTCCTCCCGGGTTGGTGGCTCTGCCCCCCTTCGGGCTTCGGGCGCCCGTGGGCGGGGGCGGCCGTCTGTGCGTGTCTCGCCCTTCTGCAGCCCCGGCCGCCTGTCTGACAGCCAGGCCACGGGAAGCTTCGGGGCCTGCACCGGGGATGCCCAGCGCAGAGCTCTTGCCTCTGTGGGGCGGCCCCCCGTCGCCACCGAGGCTCTCACGTTGCCCTTCCGCCCACTGCGGCCCGTTGATCGTTTTGTCGAGGCATTGGGCCCTTCCGCCCGCTGCGCGCCGACTGGGCCTAGGACCCTCGCTATTGCCCGCCCTTGCCAGAAGGGTTCAGCGTGCGCGACGCTGGTAAGCACAGCGCTGGGCCGAACTCCGTCCACATCGGTGTGTGTGTGTGTGTGTGTGTGTGTATGTGTGTGTGTGTGTGTGTTGTGTGTTGTGTGTTGTGTGTTGTGTTGTGTTGTGTTGTGTTGTGATGTGTTGTGTTGTGTTGTGTTGTGTTGTGTTGGGTTGGGTTGGGTTGGGTTGGGTTGGGTTGGGTTGTGTGTGTGTGTGTGTGTGTGTCTCTCTCTCTCTCTCTCTCTCTCTTTTTCTCCGACATGCCTGCACTTGTCCAGCCAGTAATGCTGGGCGGCGTCCTGTGCTCTGGCACCGCTGGGTGGCCGACCCTCACGGTGGGGGCCTCATCCTCTCCAGCGCCCAGGCCATCGGGGACGGTCCCCCCTGGGGCTGGACGGCGCTTCCCCGCCGTTCGCACTGGGGCTGTGCCGCGAGGCGGGCTGTTCGGGTGCGCTGTGCCGCGCGGCGCGTCAGTCGCCTTGCCTGCTGCGCTGCCCGCGGGGCTCCCCCCTCGCTGAGCGGTCAGGAGATTGGTGCCGCGGGCTCCGTGGCCCTCGTCCCTCCTGGGGCGATGCCCCTCCCTTTTGGCTTCCTTGCCGCCCAGTTTCCCTCCCCCCCCCCTTCTCCATTCCTCCCCCTCTCCCGCCCTCCCCCCCCCTCCTTCCCCTTCGTCCTCCCTCTCTCCCTCTCTCCCTGTTGCCCCTTCCTGCCGGAGGGGGCGGCTGCCGCCTCCGCAGGTCGCGGCGTCGGTGCAGGCGCACATCGAGTGGAGGACGGCGGCGGCGCAGGAGCGCCGAGCCGCGGGGGCGGGATGGCGGGGGGCCGGGAAGAGAGGGGGAGGAGCAGGATTTTAGGGCACAATATTACTCAGCATGGGTGGAAATGACAGAAGATTCCCTGGACTTCTGCACGTCGACGTGAGCAGGCGCGATGCTTCCTTTGCGCACCAGGCCTGAATAGTGACTGGCATTTGATTTTTTCCCTCGCGCCCTATATGGGCCCGCCCTCGTGCGAGCGGGGTGACTTGACTTGACTTGACTGGATTCTGCTACCTGGTACCCAGCCGTCAAGAAAGTCCAGAAAATCAAGAAAGCCGTGGCGATCGAGGCCTGACCCCTGGTTTTGGCCGCGAGCGTATCTCACCCTTCGCACGCATTTTGCCTCTCAGCGACAGTCGTTGTCCAATCGGAAATTACGCCGTCAATCTTGCTAGCGTTCTCAGTTCGCCCTTCTCAAGTTGAAGCTCTCTTCGAAATAGACTTCTCACTTCGAAGTTGATAGAAGGTCTCAACTCTTGACGCTTCGAGTATCCCCACCAGTTTTTGAGTGGGTGCGGCTGTCCACCATACACATGGTGATTGACTTCGTCAAGTGAACGGCCCTGCATTGAGTGGTTCAGCCTTCTGCGGGTCGAGTTCGTTTCGCTCTTCTCGACGCAGCCACAGCCACCAGCCCTCGTCAGTACATTGCATCGTTGTGCCCCCGAACAGCGTGATTCGGATACGATGTAAGCGCACAGGCTACCGGCTGGAGGTTGCTCAGCCTCGTGAGCGCGCACCAGTGGTCTGCCTCTTACTGGATGGCGCTCCGACGCTGATCAGCCACACCTCAGCTTCAGTGTGCCTTGGTGAGTCGGGCCGCCCTCGCCGCATCAGCGTATGCCCGTGGAGCTGCAGTGAGTCTGAGTTAGCTGCTCTCGCTCGCGCTCACCCCTTTTTTTCCGAGGTCTTGGACGGCCTGGCTCAATGTGCACACACGTGGGTTCCGTCTGGTCATTGGCCGCTCGGACTCGCGTTCTGCCCGCGGCTTATTACAGTGCCTTGCTGTCCGTCTTGGCCTCGCTTTCGATTGCGGTTCGGCTGGAGCTTGGCGCCGCAAGGGCGACTTCTCCCCCCCGTTCCGTTGCCGGTGGCCGCGCCTTTTGCTTCCCCACCAGCCGGGCTGTCTGGGCCGGTCACCAGCATACGCTGAAATTCGTCTCAATGAGGGGCATTTTGTCCCTGGCATGTGCATGTGCCGCTGCGTGTGTTGTCCGCTGGATTCCGCGGCAATCCCACGCCAGTTATCTACGTACCGCGCCCCAGACGTTGTGTTCGCTCCATGTCTCTCGCCTTGGAGCCGCGAGCCAAAAAAGTATCCCACCAGTCTCCAGTGCAGCTCCCCCTACTCTTCCTCGCTGGCGATGCTGACCACGCCAGCGGGTTTCCCCCCCACTCAGTGGCCCCGCCTCGCCAGCACGCGCTGCGTGGCTCACAGTCGCTCGGTTACCCCCTTGCACTGTGGGGTGGTCTCACAGGGGCTGGCTTTGGTGCAGAGTGGTACAGCCTTCCGCAGCAAGTACAGCCCTACGGGCCCACCTTCAGCTTCCCCAGTTGCGTTGCACCACGGCTCACCACTGCTCAGCCTGTCTGGCTAGCTCAGGTCGTCAGGGCGTTCGGAGCCTGGCTCCCCACTGGCGACTCACTCCAATGGCCTCTTACTTGCCATCACCCAGCACGACGGACTTGACCATCGTGGTCCCCGTCTCTTCGGTGTGGGTTGTGCCATGGCAAGCGTTGAATTCCGAGACACTTTGTCCTGTGCACGTGCTCGAGCTTGCAGGGCGCCGTCCGCCGTCGCCTAGTTCGCGTCCCGGACTTTGCTCTTGCCGCCTGACCGTCGTCTCGCGGCCGCGACCGAAAAAGTATCCCCACCAGTGGGCTCGCGCCCTTGCACCTAATTCCCGTCTGCAGCTTTCCTTGGTTGCCGGTTACACTGGCCGCCCGCTGCCTCCGACGAACTGCGCGCGACTTTGGCAGTACTGGTGACCCGCCTACCGCCTGCCCTTTCCACTCGACGGCTCGCTGCTGACGTGCTGCGTAAGGCTCCAGCCCACCGCTTTAGGTTAATTCGTCTGTGCGCGCCCCGCTCTGACTGGACTCGCCGCTGGCGCGCTCGCCTGCGGCCGCTGACTAAAAAGTATCCCCACCAGCTGCCGTTTGCGTCGGCGGGACCGTTGGCCCTGACGGTGGTCTTCGTGGTGAGTTCTGCCAGTGGCCCCCATCATCTGCACGCTCGAGGTGTTCACCGCCTTTTTGGCGATGCAGCCCGCCTGAAAGTTCTTCCCGGTCGACGGCGCCCTCTTTTGAGCGGCAGCGAGGCCCGCCTCCTGTTTGTTCCTCCCCCTGCTGTCCCTTCCTCGGCTCCCTCCCTCCCCCTTGGCGCAATTCGCTCGTAGTTTGTTCGATGCGACTTGACGGCGCCCGGCGTCCTCCTGTGCGCTCGCGAGCCAAAAAAATATCCCCACCAGCCCATCCCAAAGCAGACGCCAGGCGACGGATGTGTAGCAGGACCAAGAAAACAACGATACTGACGACTACGATACGACTACGACTGCGACGAATTGATTATCAATACGAGGGTGATCCATTCGGGGAGCGACGACAGGTAACCACTCAAACAATGCAGCCACAGGCTCCCTGTGCGTCTGATGAGCGTGCGTTTCGCGGCTCCTCGTGGTTGCCCTGGTAGAGTGGTTGCCGGTCGTTGCCTGCGATGTCTGTGTTGTATCGTGCGTGCCCGGGGCCGCCGCCGCCGACGACGGCGACGACGACGACGATGGCGATGGCGATCACGATGCTATTATGATGGTGCTGATGTTGATATTGATGGTGATGGTGGTGATGATGCTGCTGATGAGGATGATTCTCATGATGTGGATGATGATGGTGACGGTGATGGTGATGGTGATGGTAATGGTGACGGTGATGGTGATGGTAGTTGACGATTGCAATGCTGCTGATGAGGACCTCGGGCTTCCCTCCCTTGTCTCTCCCTCGCCTCGCTACGTCTCCAGATGTCAGCGGTGGCCTTTGGAGGCTTCTGGAGGCTTCCCGAGGGCCCCACAGCGAACGAGCACGTCAAGCAACCTCCCTCCCCCCTCGTCTTTTCCTCCCGCCGCTGGGCCAGGAGGCGTTGTGGCAGCGGGGGCAGCACGAGATCAGGCTCCGCCGCTGGCGCCCTTCTCTCCCTCGGGCCCTGGCCCCCCCCCCTCCTCGCGGCGAGTGCTCAGAAGGGGTCTTCTTCCAGGAGGATGAGGGGGGGGAGGAAAGAAAACAAGGAGGAGGAGGACGAGGAGGATGAGGATGATGGTGGTGCTGCTGATGCTGCTGATGATGCTGCTGCTGATGATGATGATGATGATGCTGCTGCTGTCGCTGATGATGATGAGGATGATGCTGAGGGTGGGGATGGGGATGATGAGGATGCTGCTGCTGCTGCTGAGGATGACGATGATGCTTATACTGACGATGACGATGATGACGATGATGATGCTGCTGTCGCTGATGATGATGAGGATGCTGACCTGATCATTTAAAGGAAGGAAGGGCAAGTTATGATGGAGATTATCATCGGGCAGGGGGGGAGAGAGAGAGAGAGAGAGAGAGAGAGAGAGACATTGCCGTGGGACATGCACGGGAATGGAGGGTAGCAGGATGGCAGGCCAGACCGCCCCGAAGTCGCACTGGCTCGAGGGAGGGTTCGGCCTGGCTTTTCCCCCCATTCTCACCCCAACCTCGGGCTTCTTTCTTTATCTCCCATTCTTCCAACCACCATTAGCATGCAGCCATGGATTGTTATAGGATCAGACCAGCAGTCCAGGAGGGTGCCGCTGGTCTCCTTGAGATCAAGTGCTTCCGTACGGCCCGCCCCGACTGCCCCGTCTGCCGTCCAGCCCAAGCCGTTCCTGCACCCGGCAGGCGGGCGTCGAACCCTGCCTCCGTCGGCGCCCGCTGCGCGCATAGCGGCCGGGCCAGCAATGGCGCCTTTCGCGAAGTTCCTCGAGTATGCTTCGGTCCCCGAGAAAGTCGCAGAGTTCATGATGAAGCCCAGGGCGGATGGTGGATTCGGCCTTTCAGCGGTGTCCGATTTCGCCAGCGTATTCAAAGAGAGCGAGTACGAGGACACATAGAACTCCGATATATTGGACAAAGTGGCAGAGCACAAGGATGACCCCGTCGTCTTGGCTGGTATGCGCACTGCCTGGCAGCTTGCGAGATCGGAGCTGACGAAGGCTTGCCGCAAGAGGGTCGAGGGCGCCCCAGACCCTGACTGGGGCACCCCGCTCCCTTCGGAAGAAGAAAACACACGGAAGGATAAATTCCGTGCAGCTTACGACGGGCTTCACTATGATGCTGACTCCGCGCTAACGCCTGCCATCATAGCCCGGCTCTACAGGGAGCCGCGGTCGGCGCAGCGTCACGTGAGTCTTACGCCACTAGCCAAGGTCCTCTCCGAAGCCGACGTGAAGGCTGTCGGCAAGGAACAGAAGCGTGATCTCGGCGGCGGTGTGGCCATGATATACGATGACCAACCGCATCTCCCTGAATTGCTTTTCGCTGGGGTCTTGCACGTGTTCTGGGCACTTTGACTCTTGTCCAACGCCTGGACGCTCGCCGGAACATCTCTCGTAGACAGCAAGGTGCACTACGACGACGACAAGCACGCCTACAAGAAAATGCGAAATTGCCACCTCACGGAAGCGACTTCGTATTAGACTTGCGTATTCCGGAAGGCAATCGAGCACCCAGGGCCGGCGCCAGCCACCGTCGCATGCATGGATCATTGACCGGGACAGAGCAACCACGTCGAAGGCAAAGACTGTGTATTCTCAGGGGTACCCGTGGGGAGAAGAACTCGGCCAGGCCGAGGACGTACAATGCGTCGTCCTTTGGGCCTGCGCCGGTGCTGGCGCGGTCGGCCGCGAAACCGCGGTGGGTTCCAAGGCGGGGCCATGCTCTGACGAGAACGGGAAGAAGGGTTGTGCCGCGAGGGGCAGGGATTGCCCGGAGCAGAAGCGGCACGTCTGCGACAAGTGTGGTGCGCGGAGCCACGGTGCAAGCAGCTGCAACGCGCGCAAGCGCTGAGGGGAGACTTCTCATGGCCCGCGCGCCCCTTCGCTTGGCATTCTTCTCTAAGGGGGCATTCGCGCGAGCCTGCTGTGCCCGAACCAGCCAGTTGCATCCTCCTCCGCATGGGCACGCAGCTCATCCCACGAAGCGCTTCTTTTATGTAGTCTGCTCGTTGCATGGCGTGCCGTGCTTGAGCCCGCTTGCATATGTGAGATTTTGCGTGCATGTCGACGCCGTGCCTGAGCGCGCATGCTGTTGATGTTGTGTGCGTTCCCACATGAGTTCTTGTGCGTGATCGAGCGCGCGCGCGTCTCTGACGGATTGCCGCGAGCCAGCGGCCTTGGCAAAACAACTGTGGCATGTCGAGGATGTCAGATTTCTTCAATGTAATCCATTCATCCTCGTTGCTCTCTTTCACCATCATCGCCGCCCCTTCTCGGAGGGGCAGAGGGCGGGGTGGGGTGGGTGCGGGGGGGGGGGGGGGGGGGGGCGCCGGGGGCCCAGGCGCGGCCGCCGCGCCACCGGGAACTTCTGGCCACGGACCTCGGGGGAAGCAGGCGGAGAGTCGCGCGGCCATCGGGCGCCATCCGATCCTCTCGATCTTTCCTCGTCGTTATCGCCCCCCCCCCCCCGTCAAGAGCGGGCTGGGTCGGGCAGGCAGGGGCAGGGGGTGGAACGGACCTCCCCCCCTCCCCGTTCAGTGGCGCTGGGGCAGCAAGACCCGCCGCCGCCGCCGCGAGTGAGAGCCCTTGACCCTGCTCCAATTAGGCAGTCTGCACCCTGCGCGGGTCGCGGTGGGCGCCGCCCCATGGCGCCCCCTTCCGGCCCCTATGGCTCCTCCTCTCCCCCCTCCTCCGCCTGCGTCTGCCCAGGCCGCCGGCCCCTCTAGTGACCTGGGTACTCCGCGCGTGTGTGTGATTTCCGTGTGCGATGGTGCTGGGTCAGTGTTCGTCGCTGCCTCCAGCATGTCGCCGCGGATTGAAGGATTCGCGCGTGCGTTCCAGCATCGCCTATGGGACTTGCGCCGCCGGCGGCGCCCTCAGGTCCAGCGGGCGCATTCTTTGCGTTCGTTCAGATTTGATTCAATAGCAGGCCGCATTGAGCAGTGCAGCCCCGATGATGCGGTCTTGTTAATGGCTCCGCCCACGCCCCGCCGCGCCCCCGGGGGATTCTCTGAGGGGCGGTCCATCCCAGTCGCGGCCGCCCTCCGGCTTCGCGCTGACGCCAGCGCTTTCTGCGCCCGTCGGGATCTCGCTTTCAACTGGTGGGTGGAAGAGGCTGCCTCCATGTCCGCAGACCATCGCCGCGCGTTGAGCGAGCAGCTCGGCGGCCCGCCCGCGCTGCTACGCGCGGCAGATTTCGGCTGGATACACGAGGCGCGGCTCTATTGGGGCTTGCCCCTGGAGTCGCTCGTCGGCAACTCCAGCTCTCGCCTTGCGTATGTAGACGTGGTGCCGCCAGACTGGGCGAACCGCGATGTTTGCGTCGTCCGGTGGCGGGGCGCTCCCGTTTCCTACGGGCGGGGGCCCGAGTCCCGATGGCAATGGCAGTTCCGTCGTGAAATTGGTCTTGCTGGACCAGTCGTGCCAGATTCTGGATTGTAGCCGTCGTTTCCGGCCGGCGGGTTCCTGGCCCTCGCGTCCGCGTTCCCGCGCCCGGCCGAACGATTGCCGGCCTCCTGTGGAGACCGTTTCATGTTTCAGCGTTTTTTTGACGGCGATCGTCGCCAAGCGTTGGCGGCGCACGCGCGCGGTGACGTGCTTTGGCGTGGGGCCGATGCGCGTCCTCTTCGCGCCGAAGAGCTGGAATCGTTGCTACAGTTCCCGCCGGGGTGCGCGGCTGACGTCGGCCCTCCCCGCGGGATCAGCGCGCGTTCCGCGCGCCCCCATGCGTTGTCGCGCGCCTCCCGCGTGCCAAGTTTGGTTGTGATGCTTGCGCTGATCTTCCATCCATGCGCGGCCGTGCGTCTCAATGGCTTGTCTCGCCTGTGGCCTGGCCAACAGGGCCCAGAATGGGTGCAATCTATTCCGGGGCAGGCCCCGTGGCACCCGCTGTGGAGCTGCGGACAGCCGCGGTGGACTTCCTCGGAAATTCTATTCGAGCAAGCGCTGAATTAGTTCCCTTCGCAGTACTTCTCGCCAGTGGCGTCCGCAGTGGAAATGGCGAGGCGCGACGTCGGGTCGCTTGATCTCAGTGCCTTCGGTGTGCGCGACGCGCATCTGCGCGACATCGTCGCCCCCGACTCGCTGCGAGGCCTTGATGTTCAAGCGCTGTGGCCCACGTCGCCGACGCGTGCAGCCGCGGCCCGGCAGCGTCGCCCCCCCGCTTCTGACCGTGCACATCCAGGCCTCGTTGCCCAAGGCATTGGGCCGGGCGAGCGCAGGAGACAGGCTTCCGAAGTGGAGTGGAAGTAGACTTGCATTTTGCAGTCCGCGCTGGCGCCGCCCTTGGCCCCCGTGTCCGCGACAGGTGGATGCGCAGGGTCAAGCTTTCGCAGCGTCTTGCCCAAGTGGCCTGGCCTCTGAACGTGACCTCGCGGCTCTTTGCCATGAAGGTCACAGGGCGCTCGTCTACCCCTCCGCCCAGGCTGGTGCCCGGCGCAGCTGTGGAGGATCGGTGGAAGGGCTACAGGCAGTTATTTCCGACTCGCAGGGACATGGCCTTCGTTGTGGTCGCGCTGTTCCACCCTGGCACGCACCGGCCGTTGTGCAGTTTCTCGTGTGGGCTGCCCTTCGACCTTGGCGCGGCTGTGAATCAGCTCAATCGCGTGCCCCTGTTGCTCGCAGCAGCAGCCCCGCGTTTGCTTTTCATCATGTGCGGGCGTTATGTCGATGATAATCCCATCGTCGACGTCGCGCGCACGCACTGCGACGCGCATGCTGCTTTTCTCTGTCTGGCCCGCGTTCTCGGCGTGAAGTTGTCGGCCAGCAAGCGCGTGCTGCCTGCCTCGATGCCCTCCATCCTGGGCCGCGCGCGCGACTTTGCGTGCGCGCTCGCAGATGGCGCGGTGACCTTTGAGCCCAAACTCGGGTCTAATTGCGCAAGCTATTCGGTGCGGGCGTCTCCTGTCAGGGGGGGCTGCCGATCTCCGA